TTTTTTTGTGGAGAAAATTTTGCAATTCCATTCGTACATAAAAGAAGAAGATTCAAACAAATATGCCATAATGATGATATCCCACATATACACGTATATTCTTAATTTGTTCTTTGAATGATATATATAATACTGTACATAAAATCCTCAAAATAATTGATTTATTTATGGTTTAGTATGGCTTGATATATATATAATAAATTGTTTGATTATGGTAACGACTGGTAGGAAGACAGGTTTTTGTTAAGATCTTTTTTAATTCTTTCTATTTTTATATTTTTTTTCAAAAAAATGTGTGTGAATTATCTGTTATAATATTGATAAATATTTATTAATAATGGCTAAATATATTAATTACTAAAATTATGTGCTCTCTATTTATTATCCATATGACATATGAAGAAGCATTATTTATATTGGGAAGAATCATTTACATCAATCCTTGATTTTTGATTGGCTGATTGATTGGCTATCAAATATTTTATTAAATAAAATAATATGTGCGAGGATAACTCAATTTCCAATTTATTAAATTATTATTTCCCTTCATTATAATTCTTCTCTTTGAAGATTTATTATTATACACTTACTTTCTTTCTCTCTCGCTTTAATGCCTAATTAATTTTGTAACTTTAATCATTAAACCCTAGATTTTATTTTTTTTTATTTTTAGAACTTTATTTCTAATTTTGCTTATGCATAAAAAATTTATCACTGTATATTATGTAACAATTTGTATGTACACACGCTCACAGCGCACACACACAAACATTACATGCATTTGTCAAAAAAAAAAAAATTTTTTTCAAATTATTAAAGATAATTTGAAATTATTTCCATCTTTCACTTTCTCTCCTTTCTCTTCAATTTTCATTATGATTATCTTTTTTTCTTCTGATCTACCCATTTTTTTTGTGTAATGATGTGTTAAATTAAATCAATCAATCAATGAATGAGTGTGTGGATGAATGAATGTGTGAATGAACGAATGTGTTAACGATGATGATAATGAAAAAAAAGATTAAAAAAGTACACTAAACATTGAAGACAATGAGGGGAAAACCTTTCGACCTTTATCTTGTAAATCATTTCCCAATCAACAATAATAATCTTTTGGTCACATGCCTGTGGCCGCAATTGTTTAACAATGGAAAATTGTCCAATTGGTTGATTTTGAATTTGGCCTATCAGAAAATCTATTTATCAATCTTATCTTTTATGTTGAACAAATTCATTTTTTTACAGTGAAATGTTAATGAATGTGTATCATCATATATCGTAATAAAGAAATTCATTTACTCATCAATTAATTATTAGATAATTAATTAAAAGAGTGAGAAGTAAAGCAATCAAATAGTTTATATAATATAATTATAATTATAACCGTAGAAGAAAGATAAAGCATTCAAACGTTCAGTAGAAGTTGAATGAACGGTTATGGTAAAGATGTAGTAATAGTTGGCACAATAGGGTATTTATATATATATATATACATACATATATATATGCTTTATATACAACGTATATTTATTATTTTTATATGTGTTTACATAAATAATCATTAATTATATTTTAATGCCATAATAATAAAAAGATACTTTTTAATGTACCAAGCACAGCAGTATCACGTCATTCACGAAGATTTTGTATTGACTTGTCTGTCAAGAGGTGGCTCGACGGCAGTTAAGAAAGAAATATATGACATTTTGGAAAAATGTAATGAAAATATCTCAATAAATTAGCAATGTCGTACTAAGAGGGTTAATTTTAACAAACAGATCAATCAGGTTTGTGAGAGGGTGCATAGTTTATGGGGGTGTGTGAAGCGTGTGAATTTTTTCCGACTAAATATTGAAAAACACTTGTCCGATGTATTCTACAACCAGAAAATTCAATTTAAAAGAAATCCAAATAATTATTAATCATTTTCATTTATCATTATTTTTATTATTAAATCAATTAATTGAATCATTGATGGTTAAAAATCTAATTTTCCAAATAAAGTGTCTTCTTGCACGAAAATCTACTGGATACTGATTTTTATAATAAGTAGTGGTAGTAACAATAAAATAAAAAATGAATGATAATGATCAAAGTCAATACAACATTAATAATAAATTGCAAACACAAAATAAAACAAGGAAATCGTTTACAAAAAAACAAAAACAAATAAATAATTAAAAAATATAAACTTCATGAAAAAAAAATTACCAATTGTTTCAATTAGTTTTTTTTTAAATTTTAAATGGATTATTATTAATCAATTAATTAATTAATTATAATTAAATAAGGAGTAATGGAAAAAAAATTTAAAGTTATTAAAAAAAAAAAAATCAAAGTTTATCAAGCCAACAAAATATTTTTCGGAATTGTAGATCTAATTATTACTGATCAATTTATTTTGATCTAAAGAAAAGAAGAGATCAAGTAAAGAAAAGCAAGTAGGTAAAGTAGGAACGAATAAAAGCAAAAGAAAATATATTTGCGCAGTAGTTATATGATAATCTGTCTTCTTGGGATTCTTTAGCATGTATGAACTAATTCGATGAAAATTAAATTTAAATATTACATGAACAACAAGTTTGACTATTTAACCATTAGTAGTTAGTCGGTTAGTATATTATAAAACGCGCGAAATTAAAGACCGTTGAATTAAAAAAGAAAACCCTAATATATTTGTTACACGGGTAATTTTCCCCAAAAAAAAAATTTTACGGTAAAAATTTTAAAAATTAGATCAAGGATTCTATGACCCTTAAAAAAATCATTTAATTAGCATCACAC